GGCATCGACCAGGTGGTCCATCCAAGGGAGCGGGTATGAGTCCTTTGGGCATGCCTTATTTAGCCCGGTGCAATCCACGCACATGCGTCATTTCCCATTAACTAGCACGATGCTAGCTAGCCATTAGGGGTATTGCACCTTCCAAATGAAACTAGCTTGTAGTAGTTTTTCCACCTCCACTTTATCTACTTATTGCCTTTCGGGGGCGAGGTTTTTTTATGCTTCTCTAGTTTGGCTCCTGGTAGGACGTCGAGGCGATGTTGTACGATTGCTGGGCTGATCCCAGTAACGTCGCCTGAGCTCCATGCGAAAACGTTCAGGTTATCTACCATGCATTTCACCAACTTTCCCTTTTCTTCAAATTCCAACCCGACCCTGATGCTAACTCCCGTCCTTCTGATACAGGGATCTTTTTTATCATGTCAAGTGGTTCGATTCGTACTCTTAGAGGCTCGACATCTAACATAATGATAGGTATTGCTCCTCTGGCTGATGTATTGTCGACATAACATCTCCTAAATGCTAGTTGATCCCCTCGCACGCACTCGACCCTCTGCTGGTTGGGAATTTCATGACCATGTGATAGGTTAAGAGGATGGCCCCGGCCACGTTCAGCAGTGGCGGACCGTAGATTCCATTGTAGGCTATGGGGGTTTTGACATCTGAGAAGCTCGTCACAATCACCATAGTGGTTAGATATATGCCTAGTGTGACTGGAAGCTCACAGTCCCTTCTGAAATTACCGTAGCCCCTCCAAAAGCCCTGTAGAGAGTTATTCGACTGAATCTGGCCAAGTATTTTTGCAAAGACTCATCCTTTTCCTGGACGACCAAGCCAATAGCTGTCTTCCTCTTCCTCTTACTGCGAGGAAGTAGGCCACAAAGCTCCTGGAGAGTTCATCAAACGTTTGAATAGACTGTGGACTAATGTCACCACACCACCCAGTCTCTAGCTTCCTTCCTGAGGGTCGGGGGAAAAGATTGACACATTATTGCATTGGGTGCTGCATAGAGTCTCATTAAGTCAACGAAGGTCTGGAGGTGGTAAGCGGATCCGTGACCCCGTCGTAAGCTTCTATCATGCTTGAAGCCCTTAGGTAGATAGACTGCCATAATTTCAGGTGCATACGAGTCTTGTTCCAAAACAATCTGTATACGCTTGTGTTTTCTCCTGGATAATACATTATCTATCTTCTGCGTCATGATCTCCTCTATCCTTCGCTCCAGAACTGCCATGGGTGACGAGGACTGCATGACCGTCGTCCCCGAAGACCTCGAGCCCCCTGTCACCGATAGGATGACAGGTGAAGCTTCAATGTACGTTCCCTGGGGTGGCAGCCTCCGTCGAGTGCAACGATAAGAAGGTGGCTCTCTGCATTTAATTCAACAAAAGGGTCATCATTGCCACCAACTAGGTCTCTAAGGCGCTGAGTTGGCTTTGTGTCACACTGCGGTGGAGACGGTGGGTCGAGGCCCCTTGAGACTGACTCTGACTCCGTCTCTGTTGCAGCCCCCCTTAATCGTGTATCACTTCTTATTTGTCATCTTGATATAGCTTTTGTGTTCAATGAAAGAAGTTTCCCACAGATGGCGACAATGAAATGGTGGTGGAGTAATGCCTCTTGATCTGCCTGGCGACCTTTGGCGTTTCTGCTACTTCGACGGGCATCTGTAACCTGAAAAGTGTGGGTGGGGCTTTCTCCCCCGTTTTACCTCCGACATGAGAATTAGTATACGTGTTAGGAGAAAATAAAGTCGAAATTCAGATGGCTGAAAAAAATGCAGTCATCCATACATGTGTCGCTCTCGGAGGTATTTATAGACGTTGGAAGCCGAGTGAGAGCCGGGTGATTGTGGTGCCACGTTTCCCCATGTTGGCCTTCCCATTACTCCCACGTTCTGAGTGGGGGGTCTTAACTTCCCTCCCAGAGGTTGTGCCCGTGGTAACTGCTATACAACATTGTCAATTCATCAGAGATTTTATAGCTAAGTGTTGAGATGACCTTATAGGTAATTTCATGTCGGTCGATGGTCTTGGGTTGAGGGAGAGCACCCGGGGGGTCGATGGTATCTCGTAGAGGTAGAGCGTTCCTGGTGGGTCAATGGTCTAGCGTAAAGGTAGAGTGCCCCCGATGGATCGACGGTCTCTCATAGAGATAGAGCGCCCCCGGGGGGTCAATGATCTCTCGTAGAAGTAGATCACCAGGGGGTCGACAGTCTCTCGAAGAGGTAGAGCACCCTGGAGGTCAATGGTCTCTCGTAGAGGTAGAGCACCCCCGAGCGGTCGACGGCCTCTCGTAGAGGTAGAGCGCTCTCGGGGGGTCGATGGTGTCTCATAGAGGTAGAGCACCCGAAAGGTCGATGATCTCTCGTAGAGATAGAGCGGCCCTTGGGGGCCGACGGTCTCTCGTAGAGGTAGAGCGCCCCCGGAGGTCGATGGTCTCTCGTAAAGGTAGAGTGCCATTGGCGGTTCGATGGTGTCTCGTAAGGGGTCGACGATCTCTTGTAAAGGTAGAGCTTCCCTGGGGGGTCGATGGTCTCTCGTAAAGGTAGAGCGTCCTCGATGGGTCGACGATCTAGCGTAGAGGTAGAGTGCTCTCGAGAGGTCGATGACCACTCGTAGAGGTAGAGCACCCGAGAGATCGACGATCTCGCGTAGAGGTTGAGCGCCCATGGGGGTCGATGGCCTCGCGTGGAGGTAGAGCACCCATGGAAAGGTCGACGGTCTTGCATCAAGGTGTAATGCCTTGCCTTGCTCATTATCGCAAGCGGTTATTTACGCCATCCAATATCATTTATAAAACTCTTCTTTTGTTTTGTTATTTTGTTGCTTAGTATTTCTTTCAGCTGGGTCTTTAATTTTTGTATCTCTTGTTGTACAGTGTCTGATTTTGTAGATAAATTGAAATTTATCTGCACATAAATTTGACTGTTGCTAACCTTTGCTCCAATCCATTTTTCTTGAGGTTGTTTTTATGGCGTACCAGAGGAGGCAGCCGTAAGATAGTTCCTAGTCGTCATCTTCCCCCTCGCTTGCCACCAACGCCATCAGAGTTGCTTCATCAATTTATGGGTATTTGTTGCTTTCTTTAGCGTATAGACTGTCCGCATTCTCTTTTCCTTAGGAGTGAATTCCAGTTTGATCCTCTCCTCCTTCCTCTAATAAGGTTTATTTTTTTCTTTTTTCCCTATTTATTGTTGGTTTGCACTTTAGAAAACCTTAATATTTTATACAACGTTTTCTTTTGGTTGGGATATTTGTTCTTGGATTTTCTTTTATTATTTTACCTTTTGTAGTCCGTTTAGAATTATTTTTTATGGGATTTTCTTTTTAAATTTTGGGTTGAAATTTTGTGACAATTCAAGTGGGTTTTGTGGGAGAAAAAAATGTTTCCTCTATTGTTTTTACCTTTTTCTTTCCTTTGCTTAGTTTTTTTTTTTTTTTTTTTTCCTTTTTTTTTATTATTAAAGTTTTTTTTTCAAGTGTTTTTTTTTTTTTTTTCCTTTTTTTTCTCCTTTTTTTTTCTTTTTTTTTTTTTCCCCGCTTTAGCGTAGCTCACTTTTAGACATGTTTGTTGGAAATCTGAATATTTGCCTACTTTTTACAATCCTTTTGTTTTTAACTTTTTGCACGAGACTATTAAAGCATGGATTAACGGATTTCTCAATTCTATGCTATGAAAAGTTGGATGCAACTTTATTAATTAATATAAAATATAATAATTTTTATTTGTATGCTTAAATTGTTAGTGAATGTTTGTGGTTACTATTTGAGTTCTTGCAGTCTTACTCGATTTTTTGGTCTATTATAATTATCCTGTTAATTGTAGTTAACTAAGAATCTGGGAATCCCCTTTTTTCTTTCTTGATTTCAGTTGTCCATTTGAAAAAATGGAAGCGATTAGGGAATATCATATAATTTACAAAACAAATTTTATTTTGTTTCACGTGAGCTATTGCATTATTGATTTCATGTTTCTTTTTGTTTGAAATGTAGTTTTCCAATCAAAAAGTGGATTAAGAGATGGTGCAACAAGAAGGGTGGTTTAACCTGTGAAATATGCGATCAGCTTGGGATTTTACTCTCGTTTTCTAGGCAAAATTTATGGCCTTGTAACTGAGGAAAATGAAACTCATATCTTCTTAAACAAGTTTTCTCGCCCTATTATGCGGTTCCAACTCCAAGAAGTAATGCTGATGTTTTGACTATTGATATCAGGTATATTCTGGAGCACATCTTATGAAATTTTTTTGCTCTTGAATGTTTAGTATTCAGCATTGCATGTTCAAGAGGGTGAGAGACACGAATCAGAATGCTTTAAGGAGATTATGGTTTCTAATGAGATCTGTAGATTAGCTAGGTTGATGGTATTCCACTTGTCATTTTGCCTGATTTTGGGTTGTTCTGGCTAGGAATGCTAAAGGAACTATGGACGGATGATAATGCAGCTCAAGCACTTTAAACACTGGAGTTCGGGCAACAGGCTGGTTGATTTGTTGATTTGGATAAAAAGATGGCTTTCGAAATTTTATTTTCTTCTTTTTCATTTGTTATATTGATTTTAGTTAAATTAAATGTTAAGGATTAAGTATACACACATTTTTACCCTTCTTAATCATGTCATCTTCGAACGATTGGGACTCTTGTCGTCAATTACACTACCTTTATCTGCAACACTGTCAAATATCCATTCAAAATGCTTATACGTGTATTATGTCATAGGCGAAAGGTACGATGCTGTAATATATTGAAATGCTTGCATGGGTACTATGTTAAATACATAGTGCTTGCTTAATCTACAGTACTAGAAGTACATTTGATACATTTTAACTTTGTTTTCTATCTTCATAAAGTTTGGCTGTCTATCCACCTTATTAAACATGCTTTAATTATATTGAAAATGTGTTGTTCTTGGATTTTATGTCAGTCCATCAAGTTTTATTGTAGTCATGTGACTATTTCTTATTTATTTTATGTTGTAGAGAAATCTTTTCTTGTGAATTTTCCAAATTTCAATTGTTGTGTTGTCAACTGTACATTCTTTGTCAAAGGGTAAGAAATCCCTACAGATGTATGTGTCTCTGGATTTAGTGTCATTCTCTGAGGTTTTCTTCGGTTTTGTGATATTCTTTGGTTTGTCCTTTTCACATAAAGCATTGAAAATTGTAAGAGGCTTATGTATTTTTAGGGGTTTAAGTGTATATGAAATGGAGATTTTAGAATATCAACTACAAATATGTGATTAGAAACATACTGAATATCAGCTCAATAAATCCTTGTTTTCTTGCATGTAGAGTGACTGATGGAAGTCTTTCCATTTTCAGTGTTGATGTATACACAACCCTTGCTGGAGCCATTGAGATGCTATAAGGTTCTTTTCATCTTGGAGCAAATGAAGTAATCAGCATTTTAGTGCTTATGATGTTGTTCTTGCGAATTTTTTTTATGGAGTTTCATTTTAGCATGTAAGAACGCCACTACAATAGCACAACAGGGTCTCTAGTACCTTTTTTTTTTTTTTTTAGATTTTTATGTACTTCAGAATTTTGGATCTAGATTTTGTATAGATATTTTTACACTTTGGAGTCAATTCATAATGATTATTGGAGTTGTTTGATATTGTTATATTCTATCTTGTTTTATGGTTAATTTGTATAAGTATCTCTACAAATAAAAAAAAACAAAATTAAAAAAAAAAGAATGTAAAGACCTACGGCAACGGTCAACAAAATGTTGCAAAAAATAATGATGTAATTATAGACAACATGCAAAAAATATTGCAAAAAAATTATTGACAACACTTGAAAAACGTTGCAAAAAAGTTATCCCGAAGCTTAAAAAATATTGCAAAAAAGGTTTTTTACAACGTTCAAAAAATGTTGCAAAAAGTTATTGGCAACGTTGAAAAAATGTTGCGAAAAGATTATTCACAACACTTAAAAAAGTTACAAAAAAGTTATTCGCAATGTTTTTTAATCGTTGCAAAAAGTTTATCAGCAACACTCAAAGAAGTTGCAAAAAGGTTATTTGCAAAACTCAAAAAATGTTGATGTATCCTTCTAACTTACGGCAACATCGAGATTTGCAACACACGTCCGAGCATTGTAAAAGGTCTTTAGCAACGTGTTTTTGGACATTGTAAAATGCTGTTTTTGTTGTAATGAATTCTTGGGATTGGCTCAACATTCTGACTTGTACTGACCATATTTGTACACCTATAGCATTTAACTCTTGCTTTGTCTGTGGATTTGATTTAGAATATGTTGAATGATTGTTGTCATGACCTCTTCCTCTTCCTCTTCCTCTTCCTAATGTATTAGAAAATTAATTATCTTCAAAAAATTTATGGAAGTATCTACCATAATTGTTGCCTCGTCCTTGATCTCCTCTTTTTGATGTCGAAAATGATTATTAGCTGAGGCTTGTAATGCTTGTTCCTCCTTATCTTGTCGATGCATTTTTTATTCATGAACCAGTAAAACACTTTGTAACTCATCAGAGAAAGATCATCAATATCATTTGATTCCACAATGGAACAAACAACATAATTGAATTTTGTTGTCATGGAGCGAAGCATCTTTTCAACAATGATCACATCTTCTAGTGTATTACCATGTACCCACATCTTATTAGCTATTGTCATCGTCCTTTTGAAGTAAAATGAAATAGATTCTCCCACCTTCATTTGTAGAGTTTCAAATTCATCACAAAGTGCTTGGAGCTGCATTTGTTTGGCCCTTGCATTCCCTTGATACTTTTTCTTCATGGAATCCCAAATCTGCTTGCTAGTATCTTCCTTAAGAATGGTTTCAAGAATTGATCGATTAATGGCTTCGAACAAGTAGTTCTGATAAGTGTATTTTATACACTTATTTAGGTCATTAAAATTGAGTATTTGTTGATGAATTTGATTAAATATGACTTAATCCTATGTATATATTGTGTGTAGGTTACAATCAATGGAAGATACGAGAATAAAGAAAATAAGTGGAAAAATGACTCAATTACATCAAGGGCAAAGTTTGGGAACTAGAATGTAATAATCCAAAATTTGAATTGGACCGAAGAATGATGAGTTAAGAACACCAAGAGTCAATTGGAATTGAAGAGAAGCTAATGGGACAAGAAATTTTGGAAAAG